AAAACCCCAAAACCCCAAAACCCCGAGAAGAGTATATTTTGGAATTCAATGTGAGTAATATATATAATTTTGATAATGGGTCTTTAATCTATCTGAGATGCTTTATTTTCCTCATAATTTTCGTTATTATTCTGCTTTTCCACTACTTATCATTACTTCTAACTAGTTTTCTTGATATCCTAATTCTATGCTTTCATTAGTAGAATTATCTTTGATAATATTAGAGGATCTTGAAAACTTTGCTCCTTTCAAATCATATCCCCAAATCAGGATTACATAGCCAATATTAATGAATATGAATGTGGTAATTTGCATAACCCATAATACATAGGATTTAGAACTCACAAAGTTAACCAAGAGCAATACACTCGGGATTAGAAATAAATCATAGACTAAAAAATTAACTTAAGCTGCCTTCTTAAAGAGTCCTAATCCTCTTATAATTCCTAGATTAAACTACTATTAAAAATCAAAGAATATTGAGATACTCCCGAAAATCATATTTCTATTCAATGCATCAATTATCTAAATATCATTGCTAAAATTCTTGGCAATTAAGCCTCTACTTAGGAACATCATTATAGATATTAAACCAGAAATAGGAATTCCTATTTTATACACAAATTTTCCGTATTCCTTTGCTTTATCATATTCCTAGGAGCCTATATTTGAAGCTATCACTTATGCAAAAGAATTTGATATTCCAGATGCAATCATTATCATGAGATAGCTTAGATTGAACAAAGTCATATATGCAGTTTATTCAATATATCCTAGATATGCCCCGAGAATAATCATCAAGCCATAGAGTGCCCACCATTTTAAACTATTCATCATCAAATTAAAGAACCCCATCTATATTAGTTTCTTAAACATCAATTGTCTAAAGTCAAATCTTATGATTGCAACTTTGAGTTTACTCATGTAAAATATTGCAATAGTTGAAAGTGAGAAATTTATGAAATAACCAATACTCATAGAATAGGATGCTCCCTTAATTCCTAGATTAAAAACTCTTATCATAAAATGAGCGCAGATGTAATTTATAGCAGCTGATACTACACAAATAATACATTGAATTTTAGCCATTTTAAAGGACTGCAAGAGTCTCCTTTATGAGTCATAAAGAAATAAGAATAATGTTCCAGGTAATAAATGTAATAAATACTCCTAAGCTAGATTTGATGATAACTTATCTTATCCGCATAGTATCAGTATTCTCCCAGAAAATACTGTAATCCCGCTAATCATTGCCCACAGTACTATCATCAAGAAAATGCCAGTGTTAAGATAATTTCCAGCTAATTTATACTATTATGCGCCATATGACTAGCCAAGAAATGTTTCAAGAGCTCCGTTTACTCCAAACATAAGCATTAAAGGGAAAAAATATAGAAATAAGTTTCCTAGGGCTATAGCATTCATCTCATGTGTTGTACCTGTGATTCCAATTAATTTCAAATTAATTATCTCTGGCAGATTAGTGAAAAAGAGGGCAGTGATAGTAGGTATAGCTAAGTGAGCAATCTCATAAAACTAATGTTTAAAGGTCAGATTATTAATATTCTGAAATTTAATCTTATTCATTAAGTATGTATTATAATTGGTAAATTTTAAAACAAAAATAGAATATTATGATGAAATTTAATAAATATTAACTCATACCATTAATAATTAATTATAAGACTAAGGGGTTTTGGGGTTTTGGGGTTTTGGGGTTTTGGGG